GATATATAAAAGCATACTAGGTTAAATGATGCAAATGCAATGCAGTTACAAAATATATCAATGTTCAATTTTAATATCCCCTTGCTAAAGCTGGACACGGAATTTCTTTTGTTCCTAAGGGGATCAATTCAAAAGGGATCCGAGTCTGTGATTTCTTTTTCAGCTATCGCTCAATAAATGTCTAAATTTTCCATGTCAAAAAAACATGATATCAGCTTAAAATGTGTTTATAGGACGAACTTTATACAACGTAGTTACATAGTTTTACAGGAATTGAGCTACCTGGTAAACTTTTATAAAATTTTAGAATTAAAGCATGTTATCTAACAATCACATTTCAAATAAATCAATGGAAAAACCATAAGACAAGGCTAAAAAAAAACAGCTCATCATTAAGTATTAAATCATTATTTTCTCCTTATTTTCTAAGCAAAATCTGAAAGGAAAATCGGCAAAAATTTCACCTCTCATTATTGGAAACAATAACTAAAAGATTGAACATTTCTGTTCTAAAAACAAATATATCATTCTGAAAATTATGTGTACACGTACTTTGCATTTAACGTTTATCAAAGTCAAAAAAATGTAAACAAATGTAACACTCATTCTCTGACAAAAAATAACTGCCAATTATGGTCACAAATCACAGAATAATAACGCTTTTAACCTTTAAAGTTAAACGTTGAAACTATTGTGATATTAAATCAGTGTAAAGATAGAGTTACAATATATGAATTCTCTTATAATTTAGAAACAAGTATCCGTTTGAAAATGTCTGGTTTTCTGTGTAGTTTTTGATTTTGTGTATAGTGATATCATTGTCAAGAGTCATCTTCTACCTAGCTATATATATATATATATATATATAGATTGATGGATGTACGACAGGTTTCCCAGCAGATGTGCCACCACAAACCTATAGTAGTACAACGATCACAATAACAGAAAACACTACAGCAGCACTTGTAACTGTCCCTGCTATAATAGCTGTATTGCCGCTCGCTGAAAAAGAACGAAACAATTAAGAAAGTTTTGATTTAAGATTTATTTAATTCCACTGGTTGACATTATTTCATTTTCAAGAAGAGTTTCTTTTTCTCTATCCACACAAAGGGCGCTAAATTTATTTGGAATGGGATCAAATTACATTGGTCTGCTGGTGGATCCAAATAAGAATAGTAATTGCCGCTATTGCCGCTTCATCGTCTGAGAAAAACACCAACAAAGACAACGCAGCCCCGTACTCATATTTCGGTTTAAAAATCGAGAACGAGGTCGGTGACCCTATTTTCGTAATAGATAATTTTAAAGCTTTTATAATTTTTTTATATGCTTATGTTTCCTTAAGTGTTTTAATTTCCCAGCACTGTGTCGATATACTAATGCTGGTGGACTGCTGGTCCCCTAGGTTATTATCAGTCGAGTAGTCAGCGCGTCGGCGCTGACATGATTTATAACATACCTTTTTTAAATTCCTCTTTGAAACATTCACAAATTATCTAGAAACTAAGGTTGATATAGTCATAATTATAAATTAACTGTTTACAAAACTTCGAATTTTTGAAATACTAAGGCTTTTCTACCCTAGGAATAGATTACCTTAGCTGTATTTGGCAAAACTTTAAGGAATGTTTGGTCCCCAATGCTCTTCAACTTCGTACTTTATTTGGCCTTTTTAACCTTTTTTGATTCAAGCGTCACTGATGAGTCTTTTGTAGACGAAACGCGCGTCTGGCGCATAAATTTCTATCCTGGTATCTATGATGAGTTTATTTCCAACTCCCTCAAGTAAAGTCGACCTTTTGTGGATTTGGTTAATTTTTGTCGGTCCATTTTGGTCAAGTATTTCCTCTTTTACTTCTTTTCGAAAATTTAAAACATCCTTGGTTTTCAAATTTTTTATTTTTTTTTAAACCAGAAAAGCGCTTTGGACGCCACAAATCTATTGCATGCTATTTTTCATTTGCCAGCATCAGGTCGATATACCGCTGTCGGCTAATTTCTAGTCCTCGAGGGTATCATCAACTCATTAATCAGTACTTCGACACTTTCATGATTTATGATTTAATTCTCTTAAATTTTCTTTTGATAAATTTACAAATTATCTAGAAACTAATGTTTAAATACACTCAGGCAAAGTTTTCATTGGGTTGATTGGTTTAAAGTTCCCTTTGGTTCCTCACTTATTTACCTGTGATCACCCCCCCCCCCCCCCCTTTTTTTTATGTTTTGATGGGATTCGTATTGCTCAGGCTTGAGTTTCTATGATTATTTTGTTTTGTTTTTGTTTTTTGGTCGTTTTTCGTATTTTGCCATGGCATTGTCAGTTTGTTTTCGACTTATGAGTTTGAATATCTGTTTGATATCTTTCGCCTCTCTTTTAATCAAGTATTTATACATCTTTGGATTTCAACATTGTAGGATTGAGTATCGTTTCATAATATATGAAAATTATGACAGGAATTTTAAAAAATATTTGACATTCTTTTATGATATGCTGCTTTCGCTTTGTAAACAACAGCGTGATAAAATTCTATATATATCTATACGTTTTGCAAATTCACAGATTGATTTATTTATGACTGTTACAGTTACATGTAACCCCCATCGTACATTTACATACTACTAGTATTGTAACCTATGTACAAACGCTATGTAGATTTCGCCATGCATCGCAACCTTTGTACAAACACGATGTCGATTTCGCCATGTATTGGAATCTATGTACAAACACTATGTCGATTTCGCCCTGTATCGTAACCTATGTACAAACACTATGTACATTATATTGTGTGAAATTTTGAATTAAAAAAAAATTGGAATTGCAGAATGTCATATTTTTTTCTGATTGTTTATGACGTCTTTACACTAAACCCATTGGATGTAGGATGTGTACTGATTGATACTTTAGTCTTAGATACATGAATATGTTATTAGTTGTTACTGGCTTTGAACTAGCTATCAGTAACTGCGAGTACTCTCAGATCTGTACTTTGTGTCTTTTGAGATTTTGTTAGTTGTTTCTGTGATTTGTATCGATCTGATAAAGTTAGCCCTTTTCAACTTTTTATAGTTTGTTCTTATGTCGTGCTGTAAACCACTGTCCCAGGTAAGGTCAGGGTTGGGCGCCCACAATCATTCTTAACCCCGCCAAATTCTGTACATGCCTGTCCCAAGTCTGTTATTCAGTTAGTTTTTGTCGTTTGAATTATTTTACAAAATTTGTTATTTCGGGGCATTTTATAAATTGCTAAGCGATTACGGCTTTTTCTCATTGATGAAGGCCATACGATGACCTATAGTTGCTCATATCTATGTCATTTGGTCGCTGCTAGAGAGTTGTCTCATTGGCATTCATACCACATCTTATTTAAATTATGTTATTATAGAGCCCGTAAATTTAGATACAATCCATCTAAACTTATCGAGATAACCAATTTAACGTTTTTGTTGTTATTTTTTGGTGCCAGCATTGGTTTCATTGTTACTAAATTAAAACATAACTATATATAAATCTGTCTTCTTTGATAGTTGTATGTTGTACTTTGCGTAGATCTAACGAGTCAGGCCATTTTCAACTAATTTGTACAGTTTGTCCAATCATTTTCCATGGGAAGAAGATCTGTACAACGTCATTAATGCGAAGAAACTGTTGACACAGATATGTCTAGCCTATACATAATTCAGATAGTATAATGCAAATGTTGAAATTTAAAATGGCAACACTTGGCAAAAGTGTCAAAGTTAATGGTAGTTTCCTGAATACTGACCTGAGAACAAACTTAACATGTCAACTATGTAAACGTTTGGACCATGACAACAGCAAACCAAAAAAAAAACACAAAAAAACAAACTTTGAAGTGGTTTTCATTTCTGTTGCAATAAAGATATTTTATATCAATTATATACATAAGGTAAAGGAATGTAATCCATACACAGAAATATGTATTTAAGGATATTTTGGGGTACATATGTCAATAAAAAAGTTTATAAAAATACCGAACTCTGAAGCAATACCAAAAGTGTGAAGTCCATAAAAACGGACAAAAACCAACAGACCATGTGAAAAACAACTGACGTATTCCTGACATGGTACAAGCATTTCTCGAAGAAAATGGTGGGTGAAAGCTGCTTTTATAGCTAGCTAAACCTCCCTCTTGCAGGACAGTTTTTTTTATAGTTCTGTTATATGGACAAAATTTGGTGGGCAATCCAAACAGACATGATGACAGGTTTATGTGACAATAATTGGGATCCAGCCGCCAAAAACTGTGTAAACATACAACACAACTGACCAAAATAAATCAAACAAACATACAAATTAATCTAACAAAGACGCCAATAAAAAAGGTGTAGCAGATAGTAAATTTGACAATGACATCAACAATAAAGTGTTTGTCGTTGATAGTACATACCGTAAATAGTATAAACTGTCTCGACCAAGAAAAAATTATTTAAATATAAGTACAAGGGTAAACAAAATAGAAACAACACTGTTAAAACACATGTTGTCCGTGATTTATTTTTGCGATTCGATATTAGTCTATTTAACTTGAAATTTAAAAATTCAATATTATTCATAGATGAGAAATCTTAGAGTTAGAACAACAAGAAAACCATTCTTAACATCTTTGAGATGAATAACAGCAACAAAAGAAAAATTTATTTTACTATCTCTGTCGGTACCTCCCATAGTGAAGTGTGAGAACCCGAGGGTTTATTTGACTATAGACTGATTATCGAGTCACCGACGATGGCAAGATTCAAATGATACATATAAACGGAAAATGATAAGTTCGTTAATGATATACTTGTACATGTACTTAAAACGAAAGTTACAAGTCTTTTAGGCAGTTTTTTTATGATTATTTTTTGTCACTATGTATGCCCGTACAATATAACTCATTTGGCTTGCAAAAATATTGATGCCAAACGTACGTGGTGGAGGCTGTTGCAAAGTCACTTGTTGGTATGGTAAATAAATTATGCTACAAACTTCACTACTTACCCGGAGTTGTTACAGTGTCTGTAGTTGTTTTTGTTGTTGGTATGTCAGCAGTGGTTGTTGCTTTTGTTGTTATGCTGTCAGTAGTTTTTTTTCGTGTTGTTACAGCGTCAGTAGTTGTCTTCGTTGTTGTTACGTCAGCAGTCGTGGTTGCTTTTGTTGTTATGGTATCAGTAATTATATTTCGTGTGGTTACAGCGTCAGTAGTTGTTTTTGTTGTTGGTATGTGAGAAGTAGTTGTTGCCTTTGTTGTAATGGTATCAGTAGTTATTTTTCGTGTTGTTTCAGCGTCAGTAGTTGTTTCTGTTGTTGGTATGTCAGAAGTAGTTGTTGCCTTTGTTGTTATGGTATCAGTAGTTATTTTTTGTGTTGTTTTAGCGTCAGTAGTTGTTTCTGTTGTTGGTATGTCAGAAGTAGTTGTTGCCTTTGTTGTTATGCTGTCAGTAGTTATTTCTTGTGTTGTTACAGCGTCAGTAGTTGTTCTTGTTGTTGGTATGTCAGAAGTAGTTGTTGCCTTTGTTGTTATGGTGTCAGTAGTTATAGATCGTGTTGTTACAGCGTCAGTTGTTGGTTCTGTTGTTACAACGTTACTTTCTTGTGCTGTAAAAATAATAACAACAGTAAAAATTGGGATCTATGAATACCGATCATTTACCTCAATTTAGAATAGACCCTTGAATTTTGAAGAGTTTATATGATCTGTTCATCCTATTTCGACTCTTCAAAATTCAAAAGTATATCCTAAATTGAGGTAAATTATATGGCCTTCCAAATACCGTTTCGATTCCTAACATCACTGAAGAGGCATTATTTGTCGAAATCCGGATATGGTGTACTAATTTTTGCACCTTTTGTTTGCGGTATACCATCTTTTCCGCAAGTTTATTGTTTTCTGTTTGGTATTAAATTTATAATTAAGATCCATTTTGTTACATCTGGTGATCCGTTTATTTGGCAATCGCCAATGACAGTTAGCAGGGTTTAAGAACATCTGTTGTTCGACCTACTAGTCAAATGCGTTTTGTTAAAATATACTTTTTCACTTTTTTTTGTCTGTTGGAAACTGTTGTTTGTGCTGTATTTAGACCCCTCTACCAAGAAATTTATTTTGCATGCACACGTTTAAAAATTGCTGTTTTTATCCAACGCAATCATAGGTTTGAACGTTGTTTTCAATTAAGACTTGTTTATATTTGTTCGTTTGGGCTTGTATTGTATTTGCCTTCGGGATTATATGATCCGTTCATCCTATTTTGACTCCTCAAAATACAAAAGTCTATCCTAAATTGAAGTAAATTATATGGCCTTCCAAATACCGTTTCGTTTCCTAACATCACTGAAGAGACATTAATTGTCGAAATCCGATCCGGATATGGTGTACTAATTTTTGCACCTTTGTTTGCGGTATACCATCTTTTCCGCAAGTTTATTGTTTTCTGTTTGGTATTAAATTTATAATTAAGATCCATTTTGTTACATCTGGTGATCCGTTTATTTGGCAATCGCCAATGGCAGTCAGCAGGGTTTAAGAACATCCTTTGTTCGACCTGCTAGTCAAATGCGTTTTGTTAAAATATACTTTTTCACTTTTTTGGTCTTTTGGAAAATGTTGTTTGTGCTGTATTTGGACCCCTCTACCAAGAAATTTGTTTTTGCATGCACACGTATAAAATTGCGGTTTTTATCCAACGCAATCATAGGTTTGAACGTTGTTTTCAATTAAGACTTGTTTATATTTTTTCGTTTGGGCTTGTATTATATTTGCCTTCGGGTTTATATGATCCGTTCATCCTATTTCGACTCTTCAAAATTCAAGGGTCTATCCTAAATTGAGGTAAATTATATGGCCTTCCAAATACCGTTTCGTTTCCTAACATCACTGAAGAGACATTAATTGTCAAAATCCGGATATGGTGTACTAATTTTTGCACCTTTTGTTAGCGGTATACCATCTTTTCCACAAGTTTATTGTTTTCTGTTTGGTATTAAATTTATAATTAAGATCCATTTTGTTACATCTGGTGATCCGTTTATTTGGCAATCGCCAATGGCAGTCAGCAGGGTTTACGAACATCCGTTGTTCGACCTGCTAGTCATATGCGTTTTGTTAAAATATACTTTTTCACTTTTTTGGTCTTTTGGAAAATATATATATATATTTATATCGGCAATTTGTACATTTTCCCTTTGATCTTACTGCCTAATAATTTGTAGATCCTGGACAGTACTTGATACTCGAAAATATCAGGCAATGACGTCACGAATCAATGCAAAAACGTCACGTGTTCATGTCCACTAGCGTCAATTTATCAATGAAACGCACGCGACTTCATTCATACAACCGAACAACTATCACAACATTTTCTACGCGTAAAAATAGTTTTACTAACTATTTTATTTCATTTCATATTCTCAACCCAAAAAAAAAACATACAGTTAAGACACATTGACGATAAAAAGAATAATGGCATTTTATTTTTTGATATCGACTTCATCAGCTCGAATATCCGCTCGCCCTAGCGGGCTTGCTTGATATTCTTGCTGATAAAGTCGGTATCAAAAACAAAAATGCCATTATTCTATATATATCACATATAGTTATTTATATATATATTTCCAAATAAATGTATGTAAAGTTTTGTAACTAAGTGAAAAAGTAGTTTTTGTTAAGTGTGAAAAAATGAAAGTTACATCACAAGTTAGCGTAGAGTAGCATGCTGACCGGAACTTGAACTGCCGGTGATTTTGAATAAAGTAATACCCACCTTGCCATGGATCTGTTGTAGTTCCGTAAAATGTAAGTGACCAGTTGTCTAAGGTTACTGGAAATATAATGTTAGTCCAATAAGATATATATTGTTCTATTTGTATGCGTTATCCATATATAAATTAAGTCATATTAAAAAGATAAACATTACCAAATACATTAATATGACGTTTATAAAAGAGTGTGGGTTGAAGCTAAAGTGCAACCAGAGATTACTAAAATGAACTTTTACTCAGGGGGTGCAACATCATCTTGATGACAATTACATAATGTAAAGAATTAAAAAAAAAACTAGACTAAGGTATCATTCGAATCATGCCAACACAATAGCATTGGCGTCTGAACGAATGGTTCCCACCCTCTGGAATCTCAAGTCCTCTAGCATGTTCAATCATGTATCAACCCATTTGAGGCTATATTATGGGGTATATAGATAGTCCATTTGTAGCATAAATTAACAACTAACGTCTTTTTTTTTCAATCAAGGACAATGAGGAAGCGAGACACACAAAACACTAAAACACAAACACACACACACACACACACACACACAAACCGACTCATTTTAATCTCAATGACATGATCACATAAACACTCGATTTTTTATTCGAACGCCACTGATGAGTCTTATTTAGACGAAACGTGTCTGGTATCTGGTGACATTTTTTACAATCACTGGGTCAATGTCACTTTTGGTGGACGTTTCGTCCCCGAGGATATTACCAGTCAAGAAGTCAGCCCTATTTTGTTGAGATAAAATATCATTTATATGTTGGTTTTCTGTAGTTTTACTGTCTATATATTATGAATTATTCTTAATCGGGTTTCTTAAGACAGAAGGAGATTGAGATGACATGTTCAAGTCAACAGGTGACACAAACTTGAGTGCGTTATAACTAAGACAGAAGGAGTTTGAGATGACATGTTCAAGTCAACAGGTGACACAAACTTGAGTGCGTTATAACTAAGGTCAGTTATAGTTGGGAGTATAATTATGTGTATTGTTTTGCCATAATTGTGATCAGAATTAGTATTGAGAAATAATTGCAATATTATAATAGTTTTTTTAACAGTTGACTGGGACACACACATTGTGTTGCGTGTTGCGATCCTTCCTTAATTCCTTTGACAGGAGATGTGTAGACAGATCGTCAATTAACTGCACTGGTCGAACCATTATGAAAAAAAACCCGTTAAACTGAATCGAAATCTCTGCGAATATAAATAAGGACAACTGTGTGTGCAAAACTTGGTTTCAAAAAAAAAAAAAATTCAGTCATTTTAATAAACTGAAATTAACGCAAAGAGAGGTTGAAGATGCAAAAGGGATGTTCAAACTCATATGTTGAAGAGAAGGTGAAAAGTAAAATAACAAAAATACCGAACTCCTAGGCAAATTCAAAACGGAAAGTCCTTTATAAAAAATGGCAAAATCAAAAGCTCAAACATTGTTGTCAAACATATCTAACGAATGGGAAACAGTTGTCATATTCCTGACTTGGTGTAGGCATTGAAATGTCATGGCAAGATCATAACAGATACTATATGCATAATGTGTGTACGATTGGACGATATAAAATTATGTAATAGACTAATACTAGTTTACGGTAAAATTAAAAAGCTATTTCCGGAATACTTCCGGATTGTGAACATAAATGAATAACTAGTTTAATGAGCCAATGGGTGTAATCTAGTAAAGGTGGCACGGTAGTATTTACAATCTTGAATTTAGGTTGCTTGCTTTTTTGTGTGCCCTACTTAAGTCAATGTATCTGAACACTGTGATTGGACAAAAAATACAGTATCTACTGAACATACTTTCCCCAGCTGAGGGATAAATCAGGTGTAAAAAAATATGAAATAATTTTACATACAGGTGAAAATGAATTTTTGAGATTAAAAAAAAAATTTGTACTTACAAATGTACTGCATGATAAAATACATAAAAGCACAAGTGGCCTTAGGTTTATAAAGATATCAGAAAAAGTAGACGGTCGTTATACATATTAATATTTATTTCTGAATATTACAATGAAAGTACTGATTTTTGGGCAGTGTGAGAAAGTGGTGAAAATTCTAAAAAGGCTATCATTATCTTTATGGGCCAGGAAGTACTACCGTGTCACCTATATCCACGATCTTTCAGGCTTCATAAAATCGTGCGTAGAGTTTGACGAGGTATATATATTTAAATTCCATGAGTGGAATTTTAGCAACTATTTCTCTTGCTATGTACTAAGATTAGACAAATGTTGTATGAGCCTTCCTGATGTTTCAATTTTCTTGGAATTTTGGTTTTAGTTAGACAAGACAGATTCATAATCTAACTAGTGACATTGGGTATGAAGTCTTAAAGTTCAAGAATTTTAATCAAAATATATTTCAAAACACTATTGACAGTTGACCTTCCTGGTCTTTCAATGTCACAAAGAATTAACCTGTATCTAATCTACTTTCTATGGTCTTTAATTATAATTAAACGGTTAACTCAATTATAAATACGCTTCGAAATGCACACTTGTTGTAGTAAAATCGTTACCATGTATGTTATTACCGAAAACAAAATTTTCAACAAAATTATCCCAACCACAACTACTCCTTAATATACTTGTCTGTCTACTGCCCCCTCCCCTAATCCATAATAGTATATTTTGTACAGCTGTCAACTGAACGTTTTACTGTATGAAACATAATTTTGCATTAGTCTTGAATAGGGAACCAATTCCAACGAATCTTCTGCTATACTGCCTTGGCATCCACATTTATGTCTGCTCAAAGAAACATGCCTTTTCAAGGTAATATGTTTGACGCTTTTAAATTAATACAATCATGGTTCAACCGCGATTTTAAAAAAATCGACCAGGGATAAGCAAAAATCTATTTTCTCAAGTTTGTGGAATATCACGCTGCGTTCACACGTAATTCGAATTCGATTCGCATTAACTAATTCGAATTAGTTTAATTCGCATTCGAAACGTTTAACGTCCAAACGTAAATTCTAGTTCGAATTGTAATGCGCGTCAAATTCGCTTTACTGTCCTAACGACGTTAACTTTTAATTCGTATTAACAAAAACGCATTTCTAATGCGAATTGGATAATGCGATTTAGCCAATTCGAATCAATTCGAATTAAAAAAGAAGAGTGTGTGAACGCGATTAGCGAATTCGATTGGCATTTGATTCGGATTCAATTCGAATTAGATGTACGTGTGAACGAGGCATAAAACTAGAATTTTGTAATTACTTAATGTTAGATTCTCAAAATGTCCATGCAGGATTAGCCTTTCACTTTATCAACAAGGACTTTTAATGGTTTTTAATATGCTTCAATTTCGTATTTGATTTGGCCTTTCAACTGTTTTGTTTTGACCGCCATTGACGAGTCTTATGCAGACAAAACGCGCATCTGGGGTACCAAGAAGTTTAATCCTGTTATTTGTATGAAAATGTGTTATTACGCTTTGACAATAAAATTACAATAGTTAAAATTATATTGGGTTACCAGTAACAGCATCAAGGTGCGACTTTATTTCCAGGGTCCAGCTTCCAATGGGATTTTCATTCCAAAAATGAACTGACATAAAATTCCAGGTTAGACTTCCTGCTGAAACATTGTCTGTAGCGTCCACATGTCTGTAGTGCAACAGATGACTTTTGGTACCAGATGGAGAAACTAAATACAAGTAAGCCACACCTCTCAAGGCTGAGTAGGAGAATGTAATATCAGCTACCACGTGCTCAAGATAGTTTACCGATGAACAATCACCAGGTGTTACAGTAATAGAATCAGAGGCCGAGGTAGTGGTGCTCCTGTAAGGTACAGATGATACTTTAAAAAAATTACAAAATTTTGAATTAAAACGCCGGTGACAAATAGCTGCTTACATCTGCGTCAAGTGGTCTCTTGTCGATAGTTGTCTCAATTGCCATCATACCACATCTTCTTATTTTTATATGAATCTCAAAAATATTTTGCAAGAATTTTTTTTAAGGCTATAGAATTAGCTAGAAAAACTAGCGTGAGGAAAAGAACGAAGTGTGAGATATTTAAAAAGTTATATTAAGGAAAAGTGACAAACATGAGCAAATCCTTAAATGATCTATTAATTGTTCTTGGCTTTCAGCTCTATTTTGACATAAGCTAATCTGAAAATTGTTCATACTGAAAAATGTTTTTTGTGCAAAAATGTAAGTTTCTATGTGTTCAGGTTATTGTATATTCACTAGCTTGGCTTATTTGTGTTGACCATTTTGTCAGTTTTTTACATTATAGCGGTACAAAATCTTCCTATATTTAGTTAGCATTTTATTATCTATGAAATAATGGTTACTACATGTACCATAACAGCTCATGTTTGATGAACTGATAAACGCATTTTGCCCGAAAATGATTCATATTTTGTAAGGAAAATTCAATAAATTCTAGTTTTATTGTATAAACTAGTTCGAATTGATTTTTTCAGACATTATGTTCAATCTAAAAGTCTTTAGACATATTCTCTAAGTGCGACTTCCATTGTGGAAAATAGCATATCATTATTAAATGATGGTAGATTTAGGATATAGTAAAATCCATTGTTAATATCTAATCTTGATACAAGAAAACTTATATGCAAATTTAGAATAAGTGATCATTCCCTCGCTATTGAAACTGGAAGATATAAAAATATTCCACGCCCTCAAAGACTTTGTAATAAGTGCAAAGTTCTGGATGATGAATCCCATTTCTTTTTATTATGTAAAATAAATGATGATTTAAGACATGTCTTATTTAACGATTTAAAAACTCAATACAGAGATTTTCTGATAATAAAATGAAATATATCCTAAATCCAACCACTAGTCAGCAAGGGAAATCTTTAGGCTCCTTTATTAAACAGTCTATTGAACTGAGGACAGGGGGCACTTGCGGTCATTTGTTGTGTTTAATGTTGTTTTTTTTTTTCATGTAAATGTAAATGTCATCATTATATTGTTGTTATTACATGTAATTGTTAAGCCTTTGACCATCTTATGGGTGTAATTTGTGCTGAATAAAGAAATTAAAAATATCAAATTAATACAGATATATTTTATATCTATTTATTGTTTGAAACACGAAATATGTTTTGGTCCAGTTATGATTCACTATAAAAATTCATAAAATGTTAAAAAATATATTCCGCTTGACATAAATAAAAACAACTTGTGTGTGTGTTTTTTCTGAAATCGCTGGTACTTCTAAAGTAAAACAAAATTTAAATTTTTCACTAGTCTTATTTGATGTTTTTATTTGAAACTGTCATTATCATTTCAAAATTTGACCTCTTAGATAAAAATACGAAGATGTGGTATGCTTGCTAATGAGACAGCTTTCCACCATTGACCAAATGACGTTGAAGTTACCAACTATTGGTCAACGTACGGCCTTCAACAGTTAGCAAAATCCCTACCGCATAGTTAGGTATAAAAGACCCCGACATGACAAAATGTACAAAATAGACAAGGCGAAGACGAATTTAACATTTGAGAAATTTTGATAACTTTGTTTTATAAATCAATTAGAGTATGATCATTGCGGATTCTTAAGTCAGCTGATTGTAAAGTCAACCAACACTTATTTTCTGACGAAATAACCTCATAGACAAGTGTATGTAAATTTCAGCTATTCATAAATTTAAAATCGAGGTAATTTATGTGCGTTTTAGAAGTATGGATGACAGGATTGCGATCTACTGCAACATAAAAGCCGGGTTTTGCTCCCTTTTTATATCTGTTTTCAAGGACTTTTAAAGTCCCACTACCAGCTTTGTAGTTTCGAATTAATATCTAACATGACAAACTCCAAATCGAGCAAATTTTAAAGAGGATTTATATTTTTCTCTGTTAAAATTATTTTTATTCCAAAAATGTATCATAAAAAAGGTTTGAATATCACTCTGGTATCTTTCGCCTCTCTTTTGCAAATATATTAGCTATCTCTGAAACTATTTCCACTAGGCGGCTGGAAATCAGGAATTTGAGGAAATTTGCAGACTTTATAGGATAATATTTTAGGATTCTAAAATCATTGCACTAAATATTCAAACTCAAACTTTCCAACAAGATGAAAGGAATAAGCTGTTTGTGTTTCCACCAAATTAAATCCGTATAAATGTTATCTAAAAAGTTTTTATTTCTTTTTTAAAATATTTGTTGCCAGCTGTAAATGTGAGATGTCATTCTTGGTTCGTGTCTGTTTTATATAAAAACAGGATAAAAGTATGTCGATGTATTTCTTAAGGATGTTCGCTCCTCTTGTTTTTGAATTTTTGTCAGATATTCGGAATCCTCTGGTTTTATCCATGTCGTGCCATTAAAAATTTGCCCACTAAGCCCTACTTTTCTTTTCATAATTTTATGACATATAGTTTAAAAAGCCATATTTGAAAATCTTGTAATATCCTTATTATTTTTTCATAGATTTTGAAAGAAAAAAGGTGCCAATGTTAAATGTATGAAAAATCTAGAGAGAATTATTTCCCGCCAAATTTTAAATGGCTTATATCTTGAAAACAAGCACTCGGACCCTTCATTTTTTTCTGCATATTTAGTTCCTTTAATTATATACTATCAATTTATAACAATCTTTTTAAAAGCTTGTTATTTTGAAACATAGTAGCGAACATTCTTAAGACTATTTGAATACTATCTAATTAATTTGAAATCATCGTCTGGACAACAGATTGTTGTATTTGTTAATTGAACATTAATTTGTTTACATTCATTTGACTTCAATCACAGCATGTACGAGTTTGCCTGGTCTAATTTTCAATCAATACAAATTTCGGAATAACGGAATTATGGATTTCTGGTACAACTAACCACAAACAATTCGCAAATGGTCTATAGACAGTAGAAATATAAATATTCTATTACCACAGTTGTTGTTTTGTCAAGGCTTTGATACATACTTCTGAATGAGACATTAAAACCATGTGTCTGGAAATGCTATGAGGGTTTATGCGATTCCGACAATTCTCACTTCAATTTATTCTATCTGGACTTTTAGAGATATGAAACATCGGTGTATACTCATTTTAAAAAGCATACATACTTTTTATATCATTCTTTAGGCCCATTTATCAATATAATCTAAGATAAATACTTACACGGAAGGAGACCTTGTAATTGTGGTGCACGTTTGTTGTGTTGGAACTGTTACCCAGATTTTACCATAGCTCACCATAGCATCAGCGTCCATTAAACCAAAACCCAGAATCTGACTGACTAAATAATACAAAATATAATGTTTTCAGTATTCATCATTTAACTTTCCCCCTTTTTCAGACTCAAACTGATATAGCCAATAAAGATAATTTAAAGTTAGCATGCCTGTGAAAAATTAATGTTCCGTTGTTCTCGCATTGTCCCTGCGTGCGTCAAATTTCAAAATGGGATTTCTGAAGAACAATATCTATTACTTTTCGCAATTAAAAAGGTGTCCTCTTATTAAATAATTAATTAATCTTTCCCCTGTTACGCCTGTAAGAAACTTTTCATCTAATTTGAGTTTACATACGATTTTTATTTGTTCTTCACAACACGACGAGTACCATAATTGACCTTGTAATTTATAACCCTTCCAGAGCATCTGCAGCTTACCAATTTATCATGGTGTGTTTCGTGTTGCTAAATATTTAATTATCTGTGTTTTTGTTTTTCTTTCCTTTTTTCTGTTTCCAAAAGTGTTTTATGTTCTTCGTTTACTCTTTTGGTATCATCATATTTTTGTTATATTACACACAACTGTATATATATGAATAAAAAGGATGTCAGGTTTATGTCAATGAGAAGGCATTCTAACGAAATGAAACACAAAAGGGAATCAAGAGATCTCCAACAAAAGACAAGTGTGTACTGAGAAACACGACGAGTACCAGAAATAGAAATTTCTAACCGTTCCAGAGCATCTGATGTTCAACCAGTTTTTTTTTGTTGATTTCGTGTTGCACAACCTTTAAGTATCTGTTTTTTATGTATTGTAGACCGTTTTTTTGTCTTTCATATTTTTTTCTGTTTACAGTAGTGTTCTTCATGTCCTTCTTTATAAAAAATAAGGAGATGTGGTATGATTGCCAATGACAACTATCCACCAAAGTTCAAATGAAGTGGATGTAAGCAATTATGGGCAACCGTACGGCCTTCAACAATGCGTAAAACCCATACCGTATAGTCGGCTATAAAAGGCCCCGACATGAAAAATATTAAAAAATTCAATTGAGAAAACTAACGGCATATAATTTTAACAAAACAATTATAACTGACATGAACCAACGACAACCACTGCACTACAGGTTCCTGACTTGGTACAGGCACATAAAGAATGTGGCAGAGTTCAACCTGTTTGTGAGCGCTTTACCATTTGCTTTGACTTTTGAATTCTTATTGCCTACGAGTATGTACTTAGTTATTTTGTTAAACATGATAAATATAGAATTTATCCAATAGAGACAATTGAATTATCCAATTTTAAAGTCCGAGCCTTGGCGAGATTAGATAATTCCGATAATCCACGAGTATCTATGTAAGAATCTGTTTCTCTAATGATTATCAAATAAATTTTCATTTTAAATAAACGAAAATCCCTTAGAGTGCCTTCAACATTTAACAAAGTAGTCAATTTTTCTAAGACCTGTTAGCGCTTTTCGATTCATCCATTGGGCTTATAAAGGTTGTGACTCTTTAACTCCGCCAATCAATCACTGAGATCATCGGCAACCACACGCTGATTGAATATTTTTATACAATGGGTCCAGAAAGGGTTAAATTCCCAAAGAATTATGGGAACAATGATATAGGGTCTACGTCGTTATAAAATCAGTCCAACGTTTAAAAAATAACATGTAGAGGTCAATATAACAATAGACAAGTGTTTACAAAACGTATCCTGCCGGTTCTAAATCGCCCGAATCTTAAAAAGCTGTAAATAAATTCAACAATCATCATCGGAGATTCGTCATTAACACAAGCACAGTATGTTTGATGTTGTGAAATACTATGAGTGTAACTGTGGAGGTTAATTCGTAATAATGTGTCTAATACTAATAATTGAGTTTTCAATCAATATATAAACCAAAACAGATATTTTCAGATGAAGCCAAATATTGTTTAATGACAAAATATTATTAACCAACCAAAACAACGTGTTTATGTTAGTGATAATGGCTTCAATGGTAAATACTGAATTCAGAACCAAAAACCTGGTTATCTATAATATCTGTTCTTGAATGCGACTTTTACTTGCGTAGATAATCCAAGGTCTGTTTTTCATATCTCAATTACTCAAAAACTCACATTCTTTATTTGCCCCGTTCATTGACCAATCAGAGTAGGTGTCATTCAAACCATTCCTGTTTGATGTGAAAACAATCAGATGTTGGATGTCTCTCCAAGTTAGATCGGAACTATAATGAGGAATAAATTGGAAGAGTAAATAAAATATATCTATCAAAAGAAATAAACTCTAAACATGCAATGTATACGTTTCTAAGTACAAAATTGTATCTGATATATATATATATTACCAAGAATCTATAATAACATTATCAAAAAGTCACCTTAAAGTTATTGAAAAAAAAGATAGATAATCAACAATGAAAAAATAATCATTAAAGATTCAAGGCTTGTAATTTTGTGCGCATGACGCGGGTTTCGTCTACAAAAGACTCACCAGGGACGATCGAAACAAAAGAGTTGAAAGCCAAAAAAATTACCAAGCTGAAGAGCATAATTTGCCAAATATTTTCCGAGAGGTTTTGCCAATTACAGCTAAGGTAATCTATTCCTGGGATAGAAAATCCTTGGAAACAAATGTGCGTACCTGTTTATAAAAGCAATATGTTCGTACATGAAAATAATTCTTAATAATATTGAACGAACGCAATAAAATATGTTAGCAAAATTTCATCATGTCTGTTTATTTCAATTCAAAATTTAATCAATTAATTTGACAAGAAATATACGTCAATTGATAGATGAATGCACACAAAATCTTTCTTACAACCAAACAACTACCGCAACGTGTAGTATGCGTAACATTTTGTTTTTTACTACTTTGTGTAATGTTATTCTTGCTGATGAAGTCTGTGTAAAAAAAGATGCCGTTATTCTATATTTATCCTTTTGATAACTCGAACTGATTACCTCATATCGATGGCTTCTAGATGAGTGGAAGGAGGGACTATTACTCAAACTAATTACCTCATAATGACTGCATCTGGATGAGTGGATATGGACAGCCGTTTCTTGTGGATACAATTACAAATTTGATAGTGTATATGAATAAATGGAGATGTGGGGAAATATCAATGAGATAGCAACCAAAAAAACAATTGCTATGCCGTAGCAAAATGTCCCGCGACGATGTGCACTGTTGACTACACTAGAAAGGGTGTGAGTATGCCAAGGGTATTAAAAGTCAACTAACTTCAGCAGAAAATGTTAAATCAGTTACTAGTATGTATGGTCAACTATGATGTCGAACAATCCTACTTAGTATAAATTCTTTTAGGCAAACAATCCTGAGAAGTTGCGTTCACAAGTTTATAGTAAAAATTTATAAAAGTCCGTTTACTTTGTAAGTATGAGATGCATTCAAATTGGTTTAGCGAATATGATGACGAATAATTCCACCAAGTGTGAAATGGTCGGACAAACGGCGGACAGGACGAAAAATATTATAATGTCCAAACGCTCCGCGCGCGGCGGGGGACGAAGTACCAAACAAATCTGGAGATCATCATACACACTGCAACAACGGACAGATTTCTATAAAATTTCCTAATCTCTAAATCGCCTCGAGCCTAGAAAAAAAACTCATCAAAGATACCAGGCGTTTTGTATGCCAGAAGCGAGTTTCATATACCTAGTACTTATTAGTGATGCTCGAATCAAATAGATAAAAGGCCAAATCAAGTTAGAAGTTGAAAAGCATTGAGGACCAAAAATTCCCAAAAGTTTGGTCAAATACATCTCAAAAGATTAACGGTACCAAATTTTACTGCACCAGATGTGCACTTGTCGCTCATGTTATCTTTGGCTGGGGTAAGAAAATCCTAAGTATTTAGAACAATTCAAAGTTTTGTGAACAGTATAAATTGATGAAAATTACCGGATCAATGATATTTAATGCCAACACAGAAGTGCTGAAAAGAAGTGAAAACATAACCACAAGGTATTACATATTTGCCATCAACACCAAATTCCCCCAAAATAATAAAAAAGACAACAAATTAAGAAGTTACATATTTCAGACAATCACATGGACATGTTGCGAGATAAGTTGTAGTATATCCTTCTAGTTTTATTCTCAATCAATTGGCTTAAAGAGGTTAAACATTAAATAAAATTGAGAATGGAAATGGGGAATGTGTCAAAGAGACAACAACCCGACCACAGAACAGACAACAGCAGAAGGCCACCAACAGGTCTTCAATGCAGCGAGAAATTCCCGCACCCGGAGGCGTCCTTCAGCTGGCCCCTAAACAAATATATATACTAGTTCAGTGATAATGAACGCCATACTAAACTCCAAATTGTACACAAGAAACTAAAATTAAAAATAATACAAGACTAACAAAGGCTAGAGGCTCCTGACTTGGGACAGGCGCAAAAATGCGGCGGGGTTAAACATGTTTATGAGATCTCAACCCTCCCCCTACACCTCTAGCCAATGTAGAAAAGTAAACGCATAACAATACGCACATTAAAATTCAGTTCAAGAGAAGTCCGAGTCTGATGTCAGAAGATGTAACCAAAGAAAATAAACAAAATGACAATAATACATAAATAACAACAGACTACTAGCAGTTAACTGACATGCCAGCTCCAGACTTCAATTAAACTGATTGAAAGATTATGTCTTCATCATATGAATATCAGGCACAATCCTTCCCGTTAGGGGTTTAGTATCATACCATCATAACATATATGAGAAGAACATAACCCGTGTCATGCCAACAACTGGTTTTTAAATAAATGTGTTTAGTGCCGATGCAAAGACCCTATAAGTGAATCAATATTAACGCCAAAATATGCAATCTTTAATGACCTGACAACAGTATCGTAACTATATCCCTTCTTAATAAGTCTATTTAAAGGTTTTGTTAGTTTCAGAGGTGAATACTGACATTTTTGTGCTTTATAAAGAATATTTCCATAAAAAATTGGATGTGAAATACCTGAACGTATAAGAAGTCTGCATGTTGAGCTATATTTACGAATGATGTCCTTATACCGATGATAAAATTTAGTAAATGTTTTGACTAGTTTGTGATATCGAAAACCCTGGTGTAATAATTTTTCAGTAATACATAAATTTCTCTCGTTAAAATCTAAAACATTGTTACATACACGAGCGAATCGTACAAGTTGAGATATATAAACACCGTAAGATGGTGACAAGGGAACGTCACCATCTAAAAATGGATAATTAACGATAGGAAATGAAAAATCATCTCTTTTATCATATATTTTAGTATTAAGCTTTCCGTTAATGATATAGATATCAAGATCGAGGAAAGGGCAGTGGTCATTGTTAGTATTAGCTTTATTTAAAGTAAGTTCAACAGGATAAATTTCTTTAGTATACATACTGAAGTCGTCATTATTGAGAGCCAAAATATCATCCAAATATCTAAAAGTATTATTAAATTTGTGTATCAGATGTTGTTTCGATGGGTCTTTACTGATTTTTGTCATAAATTGTAACTCATAGCAATACAAAAAAAGGTCAGCAATAAGTGGTGCACAGTTAGTCCCCATTGGAATTCCGATAACCTGACGATATACGGAATCTCCAAAGCGAACAAAAATGTTATCTAGTAAAAATTCAAGGGCATATATTGTATCAAAGCATGTCCAATTGACATAGTTTTTTTGTTTATTGCTACTAAAAAATGACCTAAAAGAGTTTGAACATATATATTCACATTCTGACTTTATAAATGCCCATTTAATTAGGTGTGTGAATTTTTTCTTAATGAGAATGTGAGGCAATGTGGTATATAGGGTAGAAAAATCAAAACTTTGAACAGAATCAAAATCACCAATATATGCATGCAATTTATCAAGTACTTCCAACGAGTTCTTGACACTCCAAAAGTAATTAATTCCACTATTTTCGAAGGCCTTATTTGAACAATTTATTATCAGGTTTTTGATTGTACCAAGTGTACTGGTAAGAAGAATAAACAATTTAGTAGTGGAACAATGGCTTGAAGACGAAATGAATCTATATTTGTAAGGTGTTTTGTGTAGCTTCGGAAGCCAATACATAGTTGGGACTTTCATTGTATTTGGTTCTGCTTGTAAAGCGGTAGCTAAAAGTTTATGTTTGTTACAGATGTCGTTTTCTGAAAATGGAGTCAGTTGGAATGTTGGTGAAATGGTGATTTCTTTTTTCAGAACCTCAATGTAAAATTTACGCCAAACAATAATAATATTATTAGCAGCTTTATCGGCCGGGAAAAAACAAATTCCTTGGCTAGTTCTTTTAGTTTATGTTTGATACGAGAAATAGGTTTATTGTGGTTATTGTTAAGAGTAAAATGTTCTTTAAAATGTTGAATACGTATATCAACTATGTTCATTACTGATTTAAAAAAAAGAGTCCAAAGATTTTTTGTCAGCTTTTTCCCGTTTTATCCATTTCAAACAGTAAGTATGGAGTGAGTCGTGGATGATATTACGACACTCATTCCAATTAATAATTGACGGGGGACGATATTTAGGTCCTTTACTGAGGAATGATTTTAACTCTCGGTCTTGAACGATGTTAAGATCTCCTGTTATAACATGGGAAATGGGTCCATAAATGTATTCGGAATTACTGCAATTACATGAAGTAGGTGTATTTTCACTGATATTAACATCTTTACACAATTGGCTATAATTAAACACAAATTTCCGGGTAGATTTCTTGTAAATATAACAAATAAGAGGGAGCTCAGTATTATCAAAATATCCCGGAATTTGTTCTTTAACAGAATAGTCGTTAAAAATACCGGCAATATTTACAAAATCAAAACCTTTATTGACATACTTTATTTTAATAAACTGTTTTTTATGATCTTCAGGGCGATCAATTTTGGGAAACAGTTTAGAATAACAATATGCCATTATAATTTGAACGATTTCATTCTTAGGACTGCTATATGAAATTGTGTTGCAATCCTCTAAAATTTCATTTAACTTATTAACCGGTAATGAACAGAGCTTTGTTAACAGATAATGTCTGCCGATGTTTTTTGAAATAGAAATAAGGTCCGAAATATTGGTATGATTGGTCCGAAATTTTCTTTGATTGCGATTTTTTCTACGACCATGAGAACGGTTTTTACGAACAGTTTTAGAAACTATATCCAAAATGTTAACAGAATCGGTTCTTGATATATTACCAATTCCCATGATATTATCATTAAGATCGAGAGGGTAGACTGTCTGTAATTTTTTAATCCAATTTAATTCAATTATTTTCCGCGATCGTACAAACTTTGAATGAGATTCACCAGGCTGCTTATTTACTACTTCTAAAGGTTGAACTGCTAAATATTTAATAGGATGATTGTGCTTCTTAAGGTGTTGATAAATGATACTTTTGAATTTATTGGGTCTTTTAAAACGATACAGATGTTCTTGAGTGCGTTTAGATAAATATCGTCCAGTTTCACCTACGTACTGAATACCGCATCCCGGTTTGTTTCATGTGAGTAAATAAATTAAAGACCATACAATTATTACCGGTACAGAAAAAATACTTGGCTATAAATTAACGATACTCAATCATATAATTAATAACAAAGCCTAAAGTACAAACACACCAATAATGAAAAGTATTATATTGTATCAAACTATGCTTGCAGTTACTAGAACCAAGCACACAATTCTTAATCTGCAATATGAAATCAAGCCTCCCTACACTGTGGCTGTTTTTCATAAAAAGGTGCATGCGGCAACGTCATAAACAGTAGAGAAAGCCACACGTCAAGAAGAAACTGTACAGAATTTTAATGACAATTTTTTGTTAATCTTGCATCAAGATATCAGTTTGAATAACGAATTGATTTTCATCCAAACATACCTAGATATTTATTTACGACACGAATATCCCGCCTGCAGCCTTACAACACATAATCGGTCAACAGAAACAAAACGCACACGCGATTCGTAAGTTCACATTATACCCTAATGTACAAACATAATTTGCAGTCATTGCACAAAAGTTCGAACATGTACAATTTTCATGAAAACTTTTTAAATTCATAAGGCCTTAATTTTGTCAAACAACAGTCAACCGAAACGAAATACAATCATCCTTTGTTAGTCATCATTATATTCTAATATTTCCCAAAGAAAAACATTACTTAAAATGTCCGAACAAGTAACGTTTTCACTAAAGTGTCTACGGCCCTAATTCTGTCAACATTCTGTCAACCGGTACAATGCACAAGCTCGATCTGGACTAGTCGGCCACATATCTTATCTATCTTACGGGGCATAAGTCTATTTTGCATTTTAAGCGCTTATTTCATAGTATATTAATATAAATAAGAAGATGTGGTATGAGTGCCAATGAGACAACTATCCATCCAAGTTACAATGTGTAAAAAGTAAACAATTATAGGTCAAAGTACGACCTTCAACACGGAGCCTTGGCTCACACCGAACAGCAAGCATATACATGTATATAGGATCATAGCTGCACTTTGAAATTCAAATAATCCGATTCAAAGCTGTATGTAATGATACTGACTTTTATCCAGGGGATATATCAACAATATCTGCAGCTTTACTGTTTTCGTAATAACAAGTATTTGAGCAACAATACTGACAATTCTAATGCAACATCGTTTGTAACGTTCATTTTGATTGGATAACGTCACCAATTCTCATGGCATCAATTCACAATTCACAATTGATGCCTTGAAAACGTACGCGCAAGCGTAGACGACTTATGGCAGATTTCAAATGCATGACTATAACTATAAAACTTTTGCTTCTAATGATTTGGCAACACACTAAAAGAACTTACTTTGCTTCCAGTATAATAGTAATCTATAGAAGTGGCTAAAGGAACTTGCTTTGGCTCCAGTGTTAGAGAAATGAACTAACTTTGCCTCCCGTGTAAGAGAAATCAATAGAAGAGGCTAAAATAACTTACTTTGCCTCCAGTGTAAGAGAAATCAATAGTAGAGGCTAAAAGAACTTACTTTGCCTCCAGTGTTAGAGCAACTATACCAGTAACTATAGGTGCTGCGTACGATGTCCCCTGAATACCAGCACTTTTACATCCTGATTGTATTGTAGTAGTTGTCTGAAATCAATATGTTTTAATTTGATTTTCTTTTGATGTCTTTGTTACAAATGACAATTTCGATGTTGATATATCATTAGACGTCTAAGTAAACGGGATATGTTTAGTTTTTTATACATATATAATTATCAATCAAACAGGCAATGTCTATGCTATTACGTGAATTTCAGAAAATGAGGCCTTCTAATGCTAAAAGATACGGAGATTAAACCCGAAAATCTACTTATCTGCCTACGAAATAAGGACCCAAAATACTGCTAACATAAATAGTGTGTCCTAATCGGTTTTTAAATTTCTTGATCTCCAAATGACGAGCAAGATTTGGGCCGAAGCGTTTAGAACAGGATTATAGCCCCTGTGTGTTTCCTTAACACATACTGTCTAAATATTGGCCTTAGTTTGGAATGATAACTATTTCTTGAAGGATTTAATCATAACTGCAATCATGTGATTTATTATTCATAAGCCATTTCCAGTATTTAATTAAAAAAAATCAAGTAATCGTTTTCGACGAACAGTCTTTAGGTTTTATTTTAACTACACTAACTACATGCATCACACACCCTATTACCGGTTAACGATACGGCAGATTCGATAGGATCTGTGTTCCCAATTTCTATTAAAAACTATTGTCTGCGTTTCCGATTGCCACTGCAATACAATTGATTTTGCATCCGTTTATAGCAGACTTTAATCTGTGTTACCTATTGCATCTGTAGTCCAATAGCCGGTAATAGGGTGTGTAACATATCTTATTTCTATTTCTAGGAGGCATGGTGTCTACAGTGCTGGTAAATAAAACAAAAGTATTTTAAACCTTGTGTTTAGGTTTTTCTTTCTCTTATGGTGTTTATTAAATAACAGTAGCAAATAGAGGTTTATCTAGGTTATTAATGCCTTTGTGTACCTTTTAAAAATAATTTTAGAAATCAGGAATACAGTGATTCACGTGGGATTTTACACTCAAATATCACTAACATAAATTTTCTTCCAGTGTATATACATGTATAGATTACAGTGAATAAAATTTGATTCTTTGTGACAATACTTTTATAATTATCCGTAATAGTTCTAGAAATCGTTATAAATGATCAAAAAAAGAACAGGATTGGTTGGACCTATATTGATTGTGGTTTGCTTAACGCTGAGGCTTAAAGTCCAGTGGCAAATCTTTCAAAGTGAGTCTACTGGATTAAAATGATCGACACTCTCTCATGACTGATCTAGTATTTTACGTTCCCATTTGACAAGGACGTGACTGAGTATTTAAGAAATAATTCATGGGGGCTTCAATTTATTGTGATTTTACCACGGGTTGGCCCTTTATGCTAAATATTTTACCACAAGCGATAGCGAGGGGTAAAATATCAGCATTAAGTGCCAACCCGTAGTAAAATCACTATAAATTGAAGCCCCCATGAATTATTTCTATTCTAATAGGATAAAGAGAGCATGTGCTGTCTTTGTTTCGTAGCGCTCGATCTAGGTGAAGGGAAGTGTTTGCTGTTCCCGTAATTGAACACTCTATTGATATTGACGTAAAATACGAAGAAAAATGAATAAGTGACATGCTTAGATGATTTACAATAACGTACTAAGACAGTTTTTGACGAAGTTGAGTGATTATCTTACTTTTATTTAAGAATATGAGCTTTCAACAAATTTTTATCTTTTCAGTTTGAAATTCGTGCATTATCCCGTAGAATGCTTATATTCTTACGTCATCGTTCTATGACGTCATTTACACCATCTGACCTCGGGTAATTCATTCGTAGTAAGCAAACGACGTGGGAGTAAGATTGGAACAGCCCAAACAATCCATGACTTTAAATTTGACGATCACCTCACATTTCAATATATGTGTATTAATGTTCATTATTTAAAATTTATGTTAGTGTTTATTTCCTTGCAGCTGTCATTTGGTACTTTATCTCTTATTCTTGACTTATTCATTGATGTCTTCAAATTGTTTAATCCCGATGTTTTGATAATCTACCTTATCTGATATATCAGGCGTGTCAATCTTGAGGTCACTCCTCCCCAACTTCGTCTATAGTAATATAGTAATAAGTATAGTAGTTGAAATTTTGTAAAGGAAATAGATAAACATGTTTATTTTTTGTATCAATTTTATTTGTATTAATTGACCCGCCGCCACCCCTAACAACTCCGAGATTGTGGTTTGTGCTTTGGCAACATGCTATGAGGGCTAAGTAATAATGGATTTTACCCATTCTTTACTTGTCACAATATTATTACCTGAGTTGTCAGGCAGCCCTAATTATAACGGGTAACTAGGCAGCCCTCTCGTTGGGTGAACAATTCATTTGTTTGTCCATCTGACAGTCCTTTTGGATACATGTTTTAGTGTGCAGATGGTTTTTTCACTGAGGTTATCAGTCTCAGGTTGCAAAGTGAGCCCATACCATCTAAGCATGGGCTGGGCCAGCGCTCAACATGCAGGTATATAATTTAAGAGTAGGTATACTTGAGTTACCTATGTTTGACATGGAATGGGCTAGCACTCAACATGCAGGTACCTATGTTTGACATGGAATGGGCCAGCGCTCAACATGTCACACGCGTACAGAGGTATTTTGAAGTAACACAGTGTTCTTCGAATTATATTTCGGCCTTTTTCCTTACTCTCTATTAAAGGCGCGCTTTGCTATAAAGTTCACATTGTTTGAGGTTTCATTCAATACTCTACGAGTTATGTTTCTGTTAGATGTATACTCAAGCGGCTTGTAACTTTCTCCTCATGGTCTAAGTTATTTGAAGTCACAGTAATACATCTACACTCTATCGTCTATTGCAGTTGCAGCGATAGATGCTCGAATAATGTGAATTTAATTTCTTTATTGAGATATGTATTTTACTTATATTTCAAATACATATCGACCATAAGCATGTTGCCCGTAACATCAATTTTTATAATTCTTTATATTTGTATTTATTGTGTTTGTACTTTTATTTTGTTATGTATGTATATTAAATATTTTGTCATTTTTAATTTATTTAATTTTTTCCATTGGAATTACTTCATAAGTCGTTCTGAGTCTGTTTCGGTACAGGTTTGATTAATAGCTTGGAGATACTTCTAACACGCATTAAATCTTAAATCAGCTGGGGAAAGGTCATCGTCCGTTCATATCTTTGTTTAAAAAAACACGGCACATAAATTCATATTTTACCACGGGTGTGTACTGAAAGCGTTTGAAGAACGTCATATTAGAATTTTAAATTATATATCCCGCAAAGATACAGAGACTCTCCAACAGCATGGATCTTAATGCAGGATAGAAAAGTCCGGGTTACCATATCTCTAATCCTCAGTAACCGTTGAGTCGATTTGACCAAGATTTATACAGACCAAATTTGACAAATATTATTTTATATATTGTGATCGAATCTTGCAAAGGTTAAGACATAAGTAAGTCGGATTCAACGAAGACTATATAATAAGATTTGTGCAGATATTGTTTGAATAAATGTCATTCAACTCTGGGATAAGCAATAACATTTTTTTGTCTGAAGGATGCTTCGTGAAGGTTATTTTGATCTCGTTCCATATAATTGTATGAATTTCAAGATTATATATACGTCACTTTTTGTGATTCATTCATGTGACGCAGTCTGTGGTGTCCTGTGCTGTCGTTAATTCATGGGAGATGTCCGTTGTTATTCTGTGGTTTACATGTTGTAATGTACTATTATATTATTTATTTATGCATTTCTCTGTGCTGAGTGTTCTTGCGTTTGTTTGTTTGTACTGTATTTCTGTCACGTAGTGTTGTCATTTTAGCGATATTTTTTTAACATTGCCATATAAGCGGTAGGTTTGGCTAGCCATAAAACCAGGTTCAACCCACCATTTTTTCTTATTATGTCCTGTACCAAGTCAGGAATATGGCAGTTGTTATCAAATAGTCCGTTCTATGTATGTTGGCGTTTGTTTTCGTTGCAGATCAATGTTTCTGTTGTTCCGTTGTTTTCCTCTTATAGTTGATGTGTTTCCCTCGGTTTAGTTTGTAACCCGAATTTGTTTTCTCTTAATCGATTTATGACTTTTGAATAGCGGTATACTACTGTTGCCTTTATCTATTTTCGGAAAAAAGTTTCGAGCATAATAACATTAGAATATATAAGGGTAGACTAGTGTATAGAAATGCGATCAGCTGTGCTTCTTTCGTCCGTCAGTTACACACATGCTGAGGGGATGAATACATGTACATTGTCACGTTGGAATAAGAACGTTAAATCCGATTTACCGTGTTGAGACAGAAATATTTTGCACTGAAAGTAAAAAAATAACAATTACCAATCAATTATTGACTTGATAATATTGTGTCTGTTAACACAGATCTGTACTGAAACAGTATAACAAATATATCGACCTCCTAAGGCAAATTCAAAAGGGGAAGTCCATAAAAACTGACAATATCAAACGCTATCAATCACCGGAACAAGTGAAAAACAACTGCCATATTCATGACTTGTAACCTGGTTTTATGGCTGGCTGAACCTCCCACTTGCATGACAGTTGTATATAGTTCCGTTATATTGACCAAATGGGTTAGCAACCAAAACAGACATAATAGGTTAATGTGACAATAATATTAGGATCCAGCAGCCAAAACTGTGTAAACATACATCACAGACATACAACTCAACTGACTAAAAATTCAAACAAACATACAAATTAATCTAACAAAGACGCCAAAAAAAAGGTGTAGTAGATAGTAAAATTTAAATTTGACAATGACGTCAACAAAAAAGTTTTTGTCGTTGATAATACATTACGTATATAGTATATACACTTTCTCGATATAGTAAAAATAAGTAAATGTAAATACAAAGGTAATCAAAACAGAAACAACACTGTAAAAATCATTTGTGTCAAAAACCGGATGACGGGATGTATAAATACCGAGTCACGTCAAAAGTCATACGACCAAAAGTTTGCAATTGGATATAGTTAAAATAATGGATATCAAAATCAATTACAAATGGGATATTGTCATCAGCATTTCCAATAAATACCTCATATCAAATACTTAATACAAAACAATTATACAATACGATAAATAAACATTGGAAACAGGAATTTTGATTTTTAAAATCTACTACTTTTCTTTTAACTGCTTAAAACAGTTTATTGGTCTACAAAATACTTATCTTCCTACAACAAATATATATGCGCATAACAAACGGCTTGCTAAATATTGATAACCTTCCCTACAACTCCCTCCAAAAGTTTTATCATGGCAAAATACTAGACTTACCAGGTATCTATCATCCTGGCTGCCACCATATGCTACAGCTAAGGCAGATGCACATACTTCAGAGTACCATGCATTTTGACCAATCATTGCACTAGAAATGGCTACAGTATATATACTATTGACATAGCCGTCAGCATTACAGTTGTCTGCAGTATTTCCATTACCTGCTGCCCATATGTAAATAGCACCTTTACCATTCCTTCCCTGCAATGTGTAAGTGTTGCAATTGATACCTTATATTATGTAACAAGAAGCTCTAAAAAGTTTTTATCGCTCAACAACTATTCCGATTTCCACGGTAAACAATGGCAACACTCAAACTCTATAAAATATGTTCAATCAGATTAAATTTTCGAGTAAAAAGTCGGCCTAATACTGGATTTTCAAAAACATTTCATTGCATTTAGAGTTGACCAGAAGTACCATTAGCCAATATTCTTGGGTGTTAAGAAAGGTATTGTAGTGTACGCGCTCAAGGCACCTTGGAATAAACATACAACTTTATGGTTACATGGTTTAATATAAACTAACTAGCATCAACAGCAATACACATGATTTTATAACAAGCATTCAAGATCATTAAGTAGAAATACAGATCGTGGGAATCTAAGACAAAGTCATAACTCATGTCACTGCATCCGGTGATGCATACAGTTTATAGTACCGACAGCTGATTAACGTAAACAAACTTGAACTGATAAATATCAACAATGTAAATACTACATTCCTCTTTTCCTTGGATTGATAATTATATTATTGAAAGATTAATTCCAAAATAAACACTTAGCGAAATTAAGAACTTATTTGATCTAAAGAAATTGTCTGTAAAATGTGTGAAATTAACCTAATGAAACCCTACATGATTATACTAAATATATACAGTCTAAGCGAACATGTACAGTTTTAGTTCATCACAAAATCTTTAAAACGCTCTGGTAACTTTTGGTTACGTTTTGGTCTTGACGGTATCAATGAATCCTCACGAAGGTTAACTTCTGTATCTGTATGTTCATTTTCATTTGTGTCTTCAATATTAGTGTCAATGTTTTCGTACTCTAAAGTTTTCTCTTCGTTTATTTGTCCATTAAACTTTTTAACAAATGAACTGTTCCTTTGGGAAATGTTCCCTTCATTGTTCTTTAAGGTAAGTCGAGATCCTTCTCTATTGATAACATAATACGGATCGTGTTCGAATGATGTTGACAGTTTGTTGGTTTTTGTCTGTTTCTGTAACACTATATCTCCTACGTCAATGTCTGATTCTCGCGTTTTTCTTTTCTGGTCGGCATATATTTTTCCCTTTTCTTTCATTTCAAAGTCTTTTCTTCGCGTATCTGCGTCGTCTTTTCCATTCTCCGCATCAATCTCGGGTAGTTTTGTACGAATTTTCCTATTGAATAAGAGTTCTGCGGGACTTTTCCCAGTAGTACTATGCGGAGTACTGCGGTAGGCTAGCAGAAATTTCGGAATTTCTTTCCTCCAATCTCGATTTTCGGCATTAGCTGTTCTAAATGCTTTAAGTAAAGTTCTGTTCTGTCGTTCAACTTCACCATTGGCTTGAGGCCAATATGGTGTGCTTCTGTTATGTTTGACACCGTTTTCGCTCAAATAATTATAAAATTCCTTTGATGTGAATTGGGGTCCATTGTCCGTTTTTAAAGATATTGGAATTCCGTGATGAGAAAACATCATATCAAGCGAACGGATAATTTTATCGGTTGTAACTGATTTAAGTATCGCTACCTCTTGCCACCTGGAGTAATAATCCACTACGTCAAACACATATTCACCTGTTGGAAACGGTCCCATAAGATCGGCACACAAGTCTTGCCACGGTCCGTCTGGCAGCTGTGTTCTCTTTATAGGTTCTTGTTTCGGCACGGGTCCTACGACTTGGCACGCTCTGCATGATTTAACAAGATTTTCGGCGTCTTGGTCGATTCCAGGCCACCATACTTTTTCACGTAGCCTCAGTTTTGTTTTAACAATACCTTGATGACCCTCATGTGCTAACTGTAATGTCTGTTTTCTAAGCCTATCAGGTATAACGATTCGTGTTCCCTTTAATAGTACACCATCAACAACTGATAATTCTTCTCGGAAACGGAAGAGATTGTTTGACTTTGAAATTTTTCCATTCAAAATCTGTTTCATGTCTTTATCCAAATGTGCTGAATCTTTAATCATTCTAAACGTCATCGCGTTCGGAACTGCATTTTGTGCTACGAAATAAGCATACTCCTCTGCAATGTTTCTACCTGTAGTCTCATCTTGAACTTGCGACAATCTCGAAAGGCAGTCTGCTGCATTTTGCGGTCCTGGTTTGTACTTTACCTTAAACGTATAAGGTTGTAAACGCATCGCCCATCTTTCAATACGAGCTGGTGGTTTAGATTTTGGGGAATAGATAACCTCTAACGGTTTATGGTCGGTCACTAAAATAAATTCCTTTCCATATAAGTACAAATGGAAACGTTCACATCCCCATACGACAGCAAGGGCTTCGCGCTCGGTTTGAGAATATCGTTGTTCGACATCGGTCAATGTCCTACTAGCAAATGTAACCGGTCTAAAGTTCCCATCGCTTTGTTTCTGGCTTAGAATAGCTCCAAGTCCTACAGGGCTCGCATTTACTATCACGTGTGTTTCTGCGTTACTATTATAATATGCTAGCGTTTTTGCACTTGCTAACAACCTTTTCAGTTCATCAAACGCGTCTTGGTGTCTGCTTGACCATATCCATTTAGTTTTTGCTCTCGTTAGCTCTCGGAGAGGTGCTGAAACTGTTGAAAAGTCTGGTATATAGCGACCACAATAATTTACAAGTCCGAGGAAACTTCTCACCTCCGAGGCGGTTTTTGGATTTCTTGCACTTGTTACGGCTTCGACTTTTGACTTTTCGGGACTGATCCCTTTTGCTGAAAGTACATGTCCCATAAACGTCATTTTGTCCATATTGAACCTACATTTGTCCTTATTCAGTCTTAGTCCCTTTTCGCGCATTCGGTCCAAAACTTTATTCAAACGCTCGTCATGTTCCTGTTGTGTGCATCCGTATACAATTATATCATCCGATATGTTTCGTTGTCCGGCACATCCTTCTAAAGCCATTTTAATGCATTGTTGGTACATTTCTGGTGCACACGATATTCCAAACATTAATCGCTTATAACGAAATAATCCAACATGGGTAGTGAATGTTGTTATATTTCTGGATTCAGGTTCCAGTTCTACTTGATGAAAACCCATCCTTAAATCAATTTTAGAATATACCTTAGCTCCATTTAGCTCTTGTAAAATTTCATCCACTGTAGGAATTGGGTGTCTCGAACGTTTTACGGCTTCATTAGCTCGCCTCATATCAACACAAATTCTAATTTCCGAGTTACGTTTCGGAACTACTACTAGTGGTGACACCCATTCTGTCGGACCTTCAACACGCTCAATTACATCCATTTCTTCTAACTCACATAATTTTTCTTCCACAGATTTTCGAATATTAAACGGTAATCTTCTAGTTGGTTGTGCAATTGGTTTAACATTTTTATCTATATAAATTTTCAATTGGTAATCCTTCAATTTACCTAATCCACAAAATAAATCAGAATATTGTGACCTTATATCACCTTGTGTATTGATCATATTGACAGATGGACCGATCAATAAAATGCCTAATTCACTTGCTGTACTACGACCCAGCAGAGGTGTATGATTACCATCAATTACCATGAAATCGGCTTTAACACACTTTCTTGATTCCTCACATGTTATATCAGATCTAATCTTGCTATTGATCATTAACGGATTAATAGCTCCGTATGCATATAACTGCTTCTCAATTGGAATTTTATTGACACCACATTTCTTTAATTTGCTCATAATTTCACTATTGATAATATTACACGTAGCTCCGGAATCAACTAAAAATGGAATAACAACATCTCCTATTTTCAAAGTAATCCTTTTTTCGGAGGATCGATCAATCGCGAATACATATTCTTCGGAATCGTCGGAACTTTCTTCTTCCATATATCTAACTTTTTCCTTCTTGTAAAACTTTCCTTGTTCCTTTGTTGACTTCTTGCTCTTGCATTTCTTTGCAAAGTGTCCCATCTTGCCACATTTGTGACAAGTCTTATCCATGGCAACTGTACATTCTCTAGCTATATGCCCCGTACGGCCACATCGATGACACTCGATATCTTTTCTTTTAGAGTGATAGTCATGTCTCTGATGTCTCGCTGCATTAAAGTCGCGTTTAACTTGAACTCTGTTTATGTGAACTTCCTCAAATTGTGCGGAATGCTGATCTGCTGCTTCACTTGCTCTCGCTATGTCTTGGACTTTTTCTAGTGTCAAATCTTTTTCACGCAAAAGTCGGCGTCTTAATTTTGTTGAATAGCACATGTCAATAACCTGGTCTCGAATGGCATCGTTAAGCATTGTTCCAAAGTCACAAGTTTTTGCTAAGTTTTTAAGTCTTGTAACGTAACTATCAATTGATTCATTCTCGTTCTGTTTACATTTACGAAACACGTGTCGTTCTACCGGCTGATTTTTCTTCGGAAGAAAATATTGGTCGAATTTAACCACGGCATCTTCAAACGAATCTCCTGTATCGGTAAATGTCTCAAAAATATCTTGTGCGTCTTGTCCAATTAAATGTAATAGTAATGCTCTTTTCTGTCCTCCCTCGGATACGCCAGATGCTGTCATATAATACTGAAAACTTTTCTTCCATTTTGTCCATCTTTGTGAAAGTGAAGATTGTTCTCCGTTACAATCAAAAGATTGCACAGTTGGTAAATCCAGTAATTTTGCCATAATAACTTCGTATTCACGTTCACCGAATAAGATATCTAAACAATAATTCCCGGATTCTAAATCCATTTACAAAAATACATTTTCTCGTCGCCAAATTGTAGTGTACGCGCTCAAGGCACCTTGGAATAAACATACAACTTTATGGTTACATGGTTTAATATAAACTAACTAGCATCAACAGCAATACACATGATTTTATAACAAGCATTCAAGATCATTAAGTAGAAATACAGATCGTGGGAATCTAAGACAAAGTCATAACTCATGTCACTGCATCCGGTGATGCATACAGTTTATAGTACCGACAGCTGATTAACGTAAACAAACTTGAACTGATAAATATCAACAATGTAAATACTACAGGTATGTTTTAGGAAAGATCTGTAGATTGAGTCAGTTATCTATCTTCTAATCAAATGGATCTGCAAATTCCGAAATAATGTAAAATATAGGGCATTTCTTCATTAAACATGCAAGTTTTAAATTAATAAAAAATGCATATCTCAATCAGACAAGCAACGAAACAATATAATATTACATCAGTACGAACATACATTCATTCCAACGTCAAAACCGATCATTTTCAGTATGTTTTTAGGTAATTGTATAATATGTTATGAATATGAAATATCAAGTAGTATTCAACATAATAATCGGTATTTTTAATCGATGAATGACTGAATGCAAGAACATCTTCTTTCAATGTTTCATAATCAAACTCTTTCGAGGTAATGTTTTGTAACTAGTACATCCTACCAGTGTGAATGATTGACACGTCACATCTAATGTATATTGGTGTTGGAACAACGAATATTAAGAAACAAAAACGGCAAACATCTAATAAGTTAATAAATGTTACCGGCTTTTTCTTTATTATGGCATTTTGTAAAATGCCTGAAAACTTTTAACTTTTTCTAACATGTCTGTGTAAGATTCAGGCAGTTTATATATTGACTAATGTTTTCATGCAATTTACAAAAAAAAACTTGCATTTCAAGAGGTTTAACAATGAAAAACAAAATCTACTGAACTATTTGAAATTTCCAACATGCACTGAAATCGACAATTATTTGTTATTTAATAAAATATTTGGATATCAAGTTCTGTTGCACATTTGTCTTGATTTTTTTGCTACATTGTTTAGAGTGATGATAAAAACAAGGACCATGACATATTCATACACTGTAAATACTTTTTACTGATAAAACGTTTAACGTTCGGAGTTACGCAAACAGCACACACAAGAATATCTTCTTTTTCAGGTATTCCCCAAAGATTCAAAGTGAAATTGGTATGATTTATTTTTAGTTTTAGAACCTCTGAGCTACACCATGAACAAAGAGAAGAAAGTGTAAAAAAAAAAATTAACCTGCGATTATGGGAGTGTCTGGCATTTGCGGAACACACTATAAGTCATTTAAACACTTTCAAAGGCATTGGACAAATCCCAGATAAAAAAAAAAATAACCAGTCTGTACAATCAGATTAAAATTCATATTTATCGTAACTCGTTTGCTCTTCGAAGCCAATGATCATAACGAAATCCGAGATCGATATTTTGATTAGATTGCGAGACTGTAGAGCTGTGTCCGGGATTAGTGAAGAGACAGATTGAACTCTGTTTGTCTTCGACTTGTGAGTTTGAATATCCCTTTGGTAAACTATCCTTTTTTCCGTTCTATAATCACAAGCAATGATATCTGAAAATGATTAACGTGTTCGCTTTAAAACCATGACGTTCTAAATTAACATAATTCAAAAGAATCAAGACGTGTGTTGCATAGCTGGTTAACATCACTCATAGGATTCAAATTTTACCAGTTATTAATGTTTTGACACATTCCCCTCATTAACGTCTAATGTGTCAACCTCTGCGACGACAATATACCCTTTCGTAACATGTCTAAAAGTAATAGTAGTACTAGTAGCAACAGTACAGTTTTATTTTTTAGAGAGAAAAATATTTCGAAACTTAAGATTTCAAAACAGAATGAAAACTGGCTTGTAAATTGCAAGACACTATTATTTTGTCGAATTTTCTTTCATAAGTCTGGAAATAGCAGTTCCGTAAAAGTAATCTCAATGACAGTGGTTTCAAGATCGGTTTCCTTATTCGTTTTCAGCAGTGTTTGTATAGATTTGATACAAATAAAGATTGAACATGAAGTAAAAATTTGAATTTCGTATTGTAAACATATCGTGTAAATCAATTGAACAGTTCGTTTGGTGTTATTCCATGCTTTGACATGTTGTTAAAGAAACGAAATAGGGTAATGAAGGTAGAATATATCGTGAAATAGAGTTGCAATGTTACATCGGTACACGTGTGTAACCAGTAAAAGTGAATTCTACTGTTCTGTATTGTACTTTTGTTGATATGCTAATGTCGATCAATAAAAATGGACAGGGTTGAGATCTCACAGCTAGTATAACCTAGCTACATTTAAAATTAAGATTGGAAATGGGGAATGTGTCAAAGAGACAACAACCCGACCAAAGAGCAGAAAACAGCCCTAGGCCACCAATAGGTCTTCAAGACAGCGAGAAAATCCCGCATCCGTAGGCGGGCTTCATCTGGCCCTTGTGTACTAGTTCAGTGAAAAGGGACGACACATTAAACTCCGAAACATACAAAAAGAACTGAAATTAAAAAAAGAATCATACAAGACTTACAAAGGCCAGAGGCTCCTTACTTGGGACAGGCGCAAAAATACAGCGGTGTTAAACATGTTTTGTGAGATCTCAACCCTCTTCCCCTATACCTCTAGACAATGAAGAATAAACAAACACACAGCAATATGCACAGTAAAACTCAGTTTTAAGGAAGTCCAAGTCCGATGTCAGAATAAGTAACAGAAGAAACTAAGCAAAATGACAATGATACATAAATTAACAAAGGACTACTAGCAGTTACTGACATGCCAGCTCCAGACCTCAATTAAACTGATTGAAGGATTATATCTTCATCATATGAAAATCAAGCACAATCCCTCCCGTTAGGGGTTTAGTATCATACCATCATAAAATATATGAGAAGAACACAACCCGTATCATGCCAACAACTGGTTTTAGAATACATGAGTTTATATTTGCATGTGCCTGTCCCAAGTTAGGAACCTCGTCCGTAGTTATCGTATCTTATTATTGTTTTTCGTCATTTGGAGAATTGGGTGTTGATGACAAATTTTTTATTGTTTCCGTTAAATTCATTTACACCTGTCTATTTTGAAGGCTATACTAGTATGTTGCCCTTCTAGATGTCGTTTGGTTATTGTTGTGTTGTTGAATTGTCGACGTTTACCTAATACATTGTATCTCCTCTTGTATTCCTATTACGCACAATACATCGAAGTTTAAATTTAATAGACGAACAGTTAAATTGATTGTATATCTAAAAGATAAATAGAAAACTGAGGCTAAATGTGTCAATGCGATAAAGTATATGTTCAACGCCAGCGAGTAAAATATTGTAGATTTTAGAAATAACTGTATTGTATTTAAAGCTTTGCGGACGTCCATCGGTAGTTTTACTGTCGCAAATTTAGTTTACCTGGCGACGCGTAGCGGAGACAGGTAAACGGATATTTGCGACAGTAAAACTACCGATGGACGTCCGCAAAGCTTCAAATACAATACAGTTATCTCTATTCTAATGCAAAATAAACAAATAATTCAAGTTCAGTCATTATTTCACTATAAAAGAGGGACGAAAGATACCAGAGGGACAGTCAAACTCATAGATCGAAAACAAACTGACAACGCCATGGCCAAAAATAAAAAGACAAACAGACAAATAATAGTACAGATGACACAACATAGAAAACTAAAGACTAAGTAACACGAACCCCACCAAAAACTGGGGGTGATCTCAGGTGCTCCGGATGGGTAAGCAGATCCTGCTCCACATGTGGCACCCGTTGTGTTGCTTCATTAAACGAAAATTCCGCGAAATGATTTTATCTTCTTTGGCGCCTAAACTAGGTGACGTCATAGGTATGCTTCCGGCTTCAAACGTAACCACCGGACGTTTTCTGGCTTCTTGTCTGCTTCAGAATGTAATAAAACTAGATAAAAAGAAGATTTCTAAGTGCAAAATGTCAATACATTCCGGTATTCAAAATGTCGGCTTCCTTAGTTACAGACGGGGAGATAGAGAATTTTACGCTTATTGTCATCCAATCAGAACCACTGATACAAAATAATTGCATTAGAATCATAATTCTATTATCTACGTAAACCGGAACAAAACCATTCCCGACTGAAAAATCTATTTCATTCTTGAAAAAAATAGAACGATATTCCTATGTCAGTATGTCAATTAGACATTAAACCAACAACACAAAAAAGAAAAAATATGGCAACTTACATTAGTCACTCCATCCTGCAATGCTGCTTTTGTCAGTAAACCAGGACTTTTAAAACCAGTACCATCAACAGGTCCCCAGCTATTGCTATATATATCAACATTTGACAGATAGTGAGAAAGACCTTGCGCTTCCTCTGAATCTGTGATTGCATAGGGACCAAGTATCCGAACTCCTTTAAAAGAAATAAATCATGTCTCTTAGGCTGTACAGTGTCTGTAAAGCATGACACATTTATTGTATACATGAATATACAATGGCAGCGGGAACTACTTTTGATTGGGGGAAAATGGAAGTGAGATCAAGATTTAATTGATATATCTACTGACAGCTTTTTTGAGATTTTTTAATGCGATACTTCCAATATTTGGTGCATAATGGTAACTATCAAACATCATGTGGGGCTTGCAAACGAGGTAGGATGAGTGATTGTTTGATATAACACCCTTGTTAGACGTGAATAAATATCAAATCAGCGTTTTGCACTATTGGTGATATGATATTATATTATGTTATTGGTATCAACAAATGAAGGACAACGTTTCCGAATATTAAGACCATAATCATAGTATGCTAGAATGGTCTCTAAATCATCGTAGAATTGTTTATTTTTCAATAATAAGGAAGCAACTACTTGATGTTAAGAGGGGGGAAAGGGGGGGGGGGGGGGGGGGGGGGGGGGCTAAGAAGAAAACTTTAATCCTGCATTTCGTTCGCTGCATCTTTGGACTAAATGTTTTTTCTTATTTGAACCGATACTGATTTTTTTTTTGCATATCGCCAAACAGAGTTAGCCAGGCCGCACATTTGTGTGCAAAGTCCATGAACCAAAATAAAACGATCGACAATATCAATCAACAGAATGAATGGAAAATAACTGTCATATTCCTGATTTGGTACAGGCATTTTCCGTTAAACTAGTGTTATAGCTACATAAACATGCAATTGTATGAGATTTTCTTATAGTTTTGAGTTTGTCAGTCTTTTTAAACGTCTATGGAGTAAAGAGTCCATTCGTTTGATGTGTTTTGTCATTTGATTTTGCCATGTGACTTTCCGATTGAATTTTCCTCGGAGTTCAGTATTTTTGTGATTTTACTTTTTAGAGCACTTAGAACAGCTAGATCAGTCATAAGGTACCAAAGGGGGACATTCAAACCATTAAGTCGAAAATTAACTAACAACTCAAAGGCAAAAAATTAATCATAAACTATCCCAATAGATATAGGAAGATGTGGTATGAGTGCCAATGAGACAACTCTCCATCCAAGTCACAATTTATAAAAGTAAACCATTATAGGTCAAGGTATGGCCTTCAACACGGAGCATTAGCTCACACCGAACAGCAAGCTATAAAGGGTCCCAAAAAATTACTAGTGTAAAACCATTCAAACGGAAAAACCAACGGTCTAATCTATATAAAAACGAGAAACGAGAAACAAGTATGAACTACACAAACAGACGACAACTACTGTAATCAGATTCCTGACTTAGGACAGGTGCAAACCCATAAGTCGAAAATTAACTAACAACTCAATGGCAAAAAATTAATCATAAACTATCCTAAGCACCATCACAAGGAAAACAAGTTTCAGATCATTTTTATAGTTTCAGTATTACCACCAATGTAAATCTCAATTGAAACACCAAAGATGAAAATAACATGGTTGACCATATTTGTTAAATATCAGATATTTTCCGTAATTGATATTGCTACATCTATTGTAGCTGGGATTCGTTTAAAACCTGCCAAATTGATGTATCTACGTCCTATCAAAGATATTAACTTCTAAATGGAATATACCTTGCTTAAATATAACCATTAACATAAAAACAAGAAGGCAACGAAGGAGAAGAAAACAGGTCAAAGTAGTACTAGACACCACAGAACACCAGAGATACATCCGAAATACATTGGTGACCTACTAGATATTAAATACTAATGGATTCAGTCGATGATTATACCAGGCAATGGGTTAAACGCGATAAAAAAAGAAAGAAGTAGATACTCTTTCAGAATGGATTACGTCTGTGAGGTCGTTGATACAATTCAGAATTGAAAAACTGAATGGGTCTATGAATACGCATGCTATCAATCTTTAAAGACCCAAATGTTGCAAAAAGTAAAATAGCAAAATAACGAACTCAAAGGAAAATTCAAAACGAAAAGTCCCTTAACAAATGGCAAAGTCAAAAGTTAGAACACATCAAACGAATGGAAAACAACTGTCTTCCTGACTTGGTACAGGCATTTCCTTATGTAGAAAGCACCTACCTCCATGAAAAATATGTTGTTATCCCCACAGATGAAGCCTCTAACAACATCGTTGTTATGTGTAAGTCACATTACATTAACTGCTTGAAAAATGAATTAGGTATTGACAATTCACTTATACCCCAACGACACTAATCAAGGAGGAAATCCCGGATAATCATAGGTCTGTTCTATTTTCCTTTGGAATTTCAACCAACGATGAAGAACTGGATCTTCTTTCACTGTGTTTGATACATAAATTACACAAGTGTCCTTACAAACAACGTTATATTATATATTGCTGGGTCATCAAATCAGCAATCAAAGCCGGGCTTCAAAGTTATTATTGAGAAACTACATATTCTAGAGGTGGCGTAAATCAGATGTGGATACTAAAATATTCCCAAGATCTGTTAGAGTTCATACAATCTAAGACTCTTTGGCACAACTTTTTGGAACTTTTGGTCCTTAAGGTTCTTCAACTTTGTACTTGTTTTGGCTTTCGTACTTTTTTGATCTGAGCGTCACTGGTTAGTCTTGTGTGGATGAAACGCGCGTCTTGCGTATTAAATTTTTAACCTGGTACCTTTTGTTAGCTATTATTCGTATGTTTCTCTGTCCTATATGTTCTCCCATTTATTTGTATTGTAGTCCTGTCATGTAATGTTGTCATTTTAATGTTATATTTAACATTGCCATAAAAGCGGGAGGTTTGGCTAGCCACAAAACCAGGTTCAACCCACCATTTTTTCTTAAAATGTCCTGTACCAAGTCAGGAAAATGGCCATTGTTATATTATAGTTCGTTTCTGTGTGTGTTGCATTTTAATGTTGTGTTTCTGTTGTGTCGTAGTTCTCTTATATTTGATGTGTTTCCCTCAGTTTTAGTTTGTAACCCGGATTTGTTTTTTTCTCAATCGATTTATGAATTTCGAACAGCGGTATACTACTGTTGCCTTTATTCATCATGCAATAGTTTTAACACATTAGACTTTTCTACACTTCACACTTGTATTCCCCATCCAAACTAAAAGACAAATTGAAAGAGTAAGGTCCTGCTTTGTATCATTAAAAAGAATGGCCAACATAGATACTAGTATCTTGTTTTAGGGGGGAATAAATCGTTCTTTGTCAAAAATCACTCTGATTCATACAAAAATTATCTCAAATTGTCAAGATGCTTGAAATATATGTTGGAGGACGTGTTTTTCAACAAACAATCGGCAATATATACAAAAATGCATGATTCATGAAATAGTACACAAACAGATTGTCGTCCAAACTTCAGGACACACCAGACAGGTCCATTAAAGATTTTCCGTTCAATTCGGTTCATATGGTAAATAACACAAAAAATACTTCTCTGTTAGGACATTACAAACAGGAATTATTTACCACCAAAAATTATCAATTTTGAGGACTATGAGTCTTTTAAATTCAGATTCGCGGCCGACATAATGTAAATAATGCAATTAAAGATTTTTGACATACACCTTAACATAAATATGATTTAAACTGAATCACCTGTATGATGTCACATGCGGAAACCTATGGGATGGGTAGTAATTGTAAAACTTCAAATTAAATGGTCATGAATAAAGGTTTTTTCTTTAAAATGTTGTGATTTTTGCAAGAGATTCGTTTGAGTTTTAGTTGGAATTTATGAAATAATTTTATTCTAGAAATTTTGTTTTATTTTAAACATGTCTTAATGTCAAATAGATCTCCAGGTTTTTATGAATACTACCTCCGACCCAATATTATAACGTCTAAAGTTTATAAACCAGATATTAGGTCTTCATCATTGGACACTGACGTCATTAAAAACTTCTTCCGAGGCCGGTATGTTATACATATGTAGAAAGACTCAATAAAGTTTCTTTCTACATACTTGGTCGTTCTGTCACACATTGTCAACATCTTCATATAAACAAAAATCTATGAACGATATTAGAAATTTTAAATACAGATATTGCTAAAAAAAAAAGAGAGAAATAAATTTACATAGTTTGCATAATCGATACCTACTCTATTTGTTAATCCTTTTCCATACTTTCAATGTATTTATTAATGTGTGTGTTACATTTGAGGTTGCCGTAGGATTAAACATAGAGCCTTCCAGACGAAACATTGTTTATCAAAATGGTTATCTGATCAATATTTAGAACATACTCATCCATTCTCGTCCAATGGAAAATCAGTATTTTCCCTTCTATTTTTCATAGTACATGGCTTTCCATGCACTATAAAATGCTACACAATGATGATTTTTATTGTTGATTAATTATGCAAGAGAACTCTTAAAAATTCGAAGTGTACAACCCCCCTAGGCAATGTCCAAGGGGTAAGAGAAAAAGAAAACATCATGAGTACTGTTGCTTGTTTAATTACCCGGTACTATAAATTAAATCAGGAGAATAGAACTAAAAAGTATTTCAAGTTGGGATTTCAACGTTGTAATTGTTATTTAATGGTATATATTTGGACCCCCCCCCCCCCCCCCGAAAAAAATTGGAAAGATGACAAAGGTGTTGGTAAAATACATGTAATATTTAATCAAATTTTTATACCAAACCTCAAACTCAATGTAGAACTTAAGTATTGTCTTTAATTACTTGATGTAAATTCAATTCATTGTCCTTTAAATTATCGATTTTTGATTGGTCTGCACGAGAGGGTGACATTCAAAAAATTGTCTCCCGCTCAGCCATGGGATAGAGTAAATTATTTACCTCGTATTTGTCAATCAAAATCTGGCATTTTTACGTGAAGTATAATAACAGCTAATATTATATAGTAATTGTATGACCTTTATTTTATTTTCATGCTCCAGTTGTCCGGATAACTTTTCCGGTTATGATCTATACTTGTTTTTGTTTTACCATTAATCTAAAGAAATTATGAATGATAGGACAAGAAAGTGCCTTTGACAATGCTTTAAAATCAAATTGTAATGGTATAGTATTGCATTAAGATATTTCATACAATAACATTTAAGAGTTCCTCCTTATCTCTACAGGACAATATTTCTTGAAATTGGTGTTACAAATGTATAACCTATATTATTATTACACTCACCTATGAGGGTGGAATTAAATGCGACACCAACTACACAAATACTGTTATCTTTCACCGCTGCAATTAATCCACTAACTTGTGTACCATGACTGAAATATAATATGTCGTAATATAAAATCCGATTACATAATAGAGTTGTCTATATTAAAAAATAACCGTTCAAGTAGCTTGGCGAACGCTGTTAAAAACATTAGATTTTGAAATACTTAAAATCTTTTGCTGTGTTTAATGCACATGACTTGAATAAACTTCAATCAGAAACGTTAGACATGTCGGACCAGAAAAAAAGTTTTCTTTGTGAATAAAAAATCAATATGTAAGCCCGATTTTTTCGGACATCTACATTTGATATATTGTTTTTGATAATTTTATACATAGCATAATTCAATATAAGTTTAAAAACATTGTACTAACAACTTTAACGGTACCAATTGTTATGCACCAGATGTAAAAATATAGAAAAAAAGGTCTTACGGTAATTCGTGTTAACATTCAAAGATCCGATTTAGACATTTTTAGTAGGCTTGCAGAGCCCTCATACATATCAACGACAGTAATATTTCATAAATTCCTCGGGCAGAGATATGGAAATGATACCATAACGATTTTCGAGAAAATTTGTTATTGATGGTGTAAACAGGGGCGCAGGACATTTAAGCGAAATATTTTAAACTACTAGGGGACATTTTAGCGCAGACATTAGAGCCAATTTTAGCGCGGGATTAATCCGTTCACCTGTATTTTCGATAGCCCATTTCAGCGAAAACTTACCTGGTTGAATAATACTCACCTTACTATAACCATGAACAGTAATTTATCCTGGTTTAATGTTTAAGTTGTTTATATGTTCATCATGGAAATACAAGTTGTTGAAACGAATAGAGGAAAGAAAAGTGTAATTTGTGATGGATACCGATATAGGATAGACAAAATATTGAAAGACCAAGAAATAGCATGGAGTTGTTCGGTAAATATTTATAGAATAACTAATCGAAGAATTCAAATAGAGAAAAATATTCAACGAGTGACCGAACAACACATTAATTCACGAGTTAATTATCAGTGTTGTTCGGTCACGAGTTGAATATTTTTCGAAATTTGAATTCTTTGATTAGTTATTCTTTTTATTACATTGGCAAATGGCTTTTTTATGAAATTAAAGTAGAAAACGTAAGGAACTATATCTTTTTCGACGCATTCACAATTTGTTTTGATTCGACGTTATCGACGTCTTCACAACGCCTATTGTTGTATGACGTCAGAGGAGTGAAATAACCACGTTTATTTCACATGTGAAATTATCGGTTTTTATTTCACTGGGAAATCAATGTTATTCATTGCAACCAATATGATAATAATTAATATCTATATGAAATGCACAAAATTATATTAAACCTTTTATATTTAGATAAAAGACGCTAAATGAAAAAAAATATATATATAAGATTTTATTATACACACAGCCGTTAATAAATAGGATGTAGTTTTTCTCATTGTTGAAGGCCTATAACTGCTTACATCTCAAGTATCAATTTTATAAACCTCTTATATTTACAGATAAAAGACTGCAAAGCTAGATTAAGGACAGAAAGCATCTATTATCATTAAGCAAACACACAGCCATAATCATGAACGACAGATTGAACGCCACATCCTTCGTACACGAGCTAAACGAAAAACTGACGATGATATCTCACAAAGGCCTTCTAAGATCATACGCACAGAGTTTATACAGAGTATGGATGAGGAAAATTTGCAAACAAAGGACCTAAAATGTATTACACAAGTTATTTACAGAAAAAAGACGTTAAACACATCCTCCTCTTCCGAAATCTAATTATTATTATAATGGGTTAAAAATATGGCGCTAAAATGGGCATTGACAATTTTAATTTTCGCTAAAATGGGTTAAAAATCTGGCGCTAAACTGGGTTCTACTTAGGCGCTAAAACGTTCGATTTTTTTCAATGCGCTTAAATGTCCTCCGCCGGTAAACAGAGTATCCAAAATAAAGCCAATAGTAGTATACCGCTGTTCAATATATAGTCATAAATCAATTTAACTGAAACAAATCCGGGTCACAAACCAAAACTGAAACAAACAAAACGGAACAACAGAAACACTGAACTGCTACAAACACAAACGCCAACATACATAGAAACGGACTATGTGATAACATCTGCCATATTCCTGACTTGGTACAGGACATTTAAAGAAAAAAAGGTGGGTTGAACCTGGTTTTATGGCTAGACAATTTTGAAACATCCCGCTTATATGACAATGTTAAAAATACCGCTAAAATGACAACATTACGTGACAGGAATACAGTACAAATAAATGCAAGAACATTCAGGACAGAGATATACACAAATAAATAATATAATAGTACATTTCAAAATGTAAACCACAGAATAACCACGAACACCTAAAATTAATTTACGACAGAACACAAATACAGCACAATGGAATAATGAACTGTGCGTCACACGGATGTATCCACGCCACAAAAAGTGACGTCACAGGTAAATTTCAAAAAATAGAATGTAAAAAGCCGGTTGGATATACGTCTGGATATTCAAAATTGCGAATAAGTAGAGATAGTGGTTCAAGAGATCGTCAAATTACTTCAAGACCCTTTCTGATCCTTAAATTATTCCTTCAATCTTTATATATATATGAAATTGATCAATAATTAAGGAAAAATAGATGCAGATTCTTGAAAAGGAATTTTCGGCAACTTATATCAGTATCATCTTTGAATTATAAGGCAAAGAGTCAGTTTGATATTCAAACCACATTTCAAAAGATCAACAGAGATTGCAGACCTACCGGATCATTCTGTCTCAACTGAATTGTCGTAGACGTAGTCCTATCAAAACGATTTTCAGGCCACTTAAATTCTGTGGTATGTAAAGAGGACTCAAAAGGCCAGTTTTATATTCAAATTTGGGAGAGAGAGGAAAGGCAATAAAGGTTCATGGCAACATGAGAATACTTGCTGAGCCGTCCTGGTCTTGAATAGTCATTAAATTTAGCTTAAAACGAGGGACGAAATTTTGTAGGGTACAGAAATGGAAAGGCCAAAATAAATCTAAGTTTCACTTTTCGCTACTTAAAGTTCTACAACTTAACAACGATAAAAGCTAAAATTGTGAAAATCGAACTTGACCTTCATTTTTCATTTGAAAAAAATTCGTCAAAGCGTTTTCAAGTATTGATCGGACAACGCTCTAAGTATCACTTTTCGCTACCTAAAGGTCTACAACTCGTGAAAATCATTTAGTCACAGGAAACAACATACCTAAGTTTGAGAAGATTTCGTCAAAGCGTTTTCAAGTTATCAAGTTTTCTTCGGAAATCCGATTAAAATCATGGCTGATCCTCATATACTAGTTACTACTTTTCATGATAACCATAATTCTTTCTGTTTAGAAAAATTCAACTTTTGACTAACCTGAGGTAATTGAACATAACGGATTATTGAAGTCGAACGAATTTCATTAAGTGATATTGAAACCCATAAATGATTTTTTATTATTTTTTTTCTTCGTTAAATATTGCATTTCCATATTGCCGAAACTGAGCAATGTAAATCTGAATCAGACCATTATAATATTGCAAGTACGTGCTGTTGTTAGACAATTCCACGCCAGAAACTCCTCTTATCGCCTTTACAACAACGGTAGCGGCAGACGGGATTTGTTGATGACCACCCATAATCAGATCAATATGTAGTGACAACGCCACTTCAATAAAATTTGTTTACGCAACTTCATTTGCGAGACATGTTTACGGTCGCAACGACAACTGCTAATCAAGTCGTCGAATGCCATGGCAGGCAGATTCATGCCATAAATATTCCCAATATACTGAAATGCCAAAGAATTGACTGCAGAAAAAACATTTTAAGCCCTAACATTAAACCCGCACAATTGTCAAAACACACTGTTGAGTGGGACAGAGGACAAATCAGAACTCAAAACATGCCCAACAGAATTAGTTGACTTTTCTGTCAATTATTTATTGACGAGCCTACGACAAAAGAGAGACATATCGATCCTAGATTCCGTCGTCAGCGCCGGTGTCGGCGGCGTCAACATTTAGGTTCAGTCTCTGGTTAAAGTTTTTTTTAGACATCAATTACTTTATCAAACCTTCATGGAATTTTATGCAATTTGGACAGAGGCTAAAAGTACAGTATCCAGAACAAAATTTGGAAAATAACTATTTTCATTTTTTCTGTATTGTACTGATAAATATCCTTAGATTTTTTTTACAGTATACAAGTAAATACAGTATGGGGTTAAAGTTTGTTACACATCAATTACTTTGTCAAAGCTTCATAAAATTTGATAAAGAGATAATGTCTAAAGCAAACGTTGGAAAATATATTTTTTTTCACTTTCAGTATTTTTCTGATAGATGGACTTAGATTTGTACAGTTAACATTTACAGACAGTCTGGAATTAATTTTTTTTACATGATACATTTGTAAACATTCATGCATTTTTGTGAAACTTGGACAGACGCTAACCTTCAAGACCAAGAAAAAGCACCTAAAGAAAATGTTTGATTTTTTTTTTTTAAATTCTGTACTTTACTGATAAATGGACTCACCTTTTAAGTCAACATTACACTTTTACACTGAGACACAGGGTTCGGCGAAACACCTTATGAATTTTGTAAAAATAAGGAGGTGTGGTATGATTGCCAGTGAGACAATTATTTATGGGTTGGTTACAATCAGTCATTGCCTTCGACGGTGACACATCCATTGATATGGGAAAAACCTGGGTTTCAGTGCATACTAAATGATTTAAAAAAAAAATAAACATGACGTTATCAATTCAACTTTCGAAATGCAATTTTTTTTAGACAATGGAGTAATGAATAAAATTTATGTTTATACATATAAATGTATTTAACAGAATTGCATATTTAAAAATGAGAATTAATAAAAAAAAAATGTACTGTTGCGTTTCTAAAGTCCGTCAGTATACCACTGATGAAAAGTTTTAGAAATGGTATTCATAACAGCGAAATATCCAGTATATTAATATTAATCGCTTCAATAAATGTGCATTTAGAA